AGGATGGGCCGTGCAGGCAAATGGGCCCTGGAGGAAGGGGTTGGCCAAGTAAAATCCTAGAGCACCCAGCCAGTGCCTCAACACACTGATCCCACAGCGTGGGAGGCTGACAGCAACAGTGCTGATGCCAGCCCCAGCACACAGGCCTACGGTGTGGGGGACAGGCAGAGGGCATTCCTGGAGTTGTGGAGGAGACCTCTGGGTGTCCAACTGCTGCTGTGAAGCTGACTCTGCCCACCGAGCCCTCTGAGCTGCAGCCCTGGAGTTGCGGGGCCCGGGGTATGTAGACCCCGGTTCTCAGGACCTTTGCTCGGTAAAAGGCAGGTTGCGTTAAAAGGCACCTTCCTGTCCCCTCCTGTCACACCACATGGAGGCAGCATTGTTTTCGTTTTTTGTTTTAGAAAAGCAGCCACAAGAATGGATGGTTGTTATCTGGGCCAAAGCCTGGCAGGGATTTTATCTCCTGCTCACCATGGCAGGCGTTGTCACTGTCCCCTGCCTCTGTGGGGGCAGCCAGTGGGGGAGGTAGTGTAGCAGAGGGACTAACATGAGCCAGACAGACCTAGGTTCTGGCCTGGCCACTTCCAAGCATGTGACCTCCAGCCCAAGTCACTCCACTCATCCATCGCATTTTCACAGAGACAGGCAGCACGGACTTCGCGAGTGTATCTAAGGCGATGGTGTCCACGGGCCCCTCATATGGACACTCAGCTGACCGTGACGAATGACCACTAGAGTGTGGAGTTAGCACCAAACTGCCTGGGTGTGGTTCCTGGCTCTGTGCCCACTAGCTGTGTGACGTTAGGCAGATGACCAAACCTCTCTGTCCTTATCTGCCTCATTTGTAAAGAGGGTATTAGGAGATAAAATGAGTGCTTGCCCCAGCAGCACATATACCAGAATTGGAGTGATACAGAGAAGACGAGCATGACCCCTATACAAGAATGACCCACATATTCGTGAAGCCTTCCATACTTAAAATAAAAAATATTTTCCAAAAAGAGGATACAGGCTGGGTGCGGTGACTCACACCCGTAATCTCAGCACTTTGGGAGCTGAGGCAGGTAGATCACTTGAGGTCAGGAGTTTGAGGCCAGCCTGGCCAATATGATGAAACCCCATCTCTACTAAAAATACAATAATTAGCCAGGTGTGGTGGCAGGCGCTGGTAGTCCCAGCTACTTGGGAGGCTGAAGCAGGAGAATGGTTTGAACCTGGGAGGCAGAGGTTGCAGTGAGCAGAGATCGCACCATTGCACTCCAGCCTGGGCAACAGAGCAAGACCGTGTCTCAAAAAAAAAAAAAAAGGGATAAAGATGGGTAAAATGCTCAAAGAAAGCCTGTCACCTACAAGACATTTGAACATAGTGTTTACCACTCTTGATTCTGAGACCTCAGGCCCACCCAGAGTGCTGAGGTACTAGTAGCTGCCGCTGCTTACTAGCCAAGTGACAAAATTACCTAATGTCTCCATCTCTCAGTTTCCTCATCCTTTCTCTAGGTCCATGAGGATTATATGTATTATCCTTGCAACTGCCTGTGCAGTAGGCACTGCTGTTTCTCCCATTTACATATGGAGGCTCAGAGAGGTTGACTGACTTCCCCAAGGTCACACAGCAAAAAAGTGGCAGACCTATGAATGGCATCAGGGTTTGGCTGGCAAGACCTGAGGCTACCTTGTCTGGCCACTATAACTGCACAACCGCCAGAATAAAGGGCCAACAATTTGGAGAGGCACACAGACTGCCCCATTTCTCCCTTGCCAGGGCCTGGGCAGGGGTGGGGTCAGATCTGGAGTGATTTGTGCAGTTTTTTCTGATTCTCACAGCAGGCTGGTGAGAAAGGCACACAGTCCCTGCTTTACAGTTAGAAGCCTGAGGCACAGAGAGGTTAAAAAAAAGTCTTGCCCAAGGTCACCCAGCTAATAGGGGGCCAGGAGGGACTTAAACCCAGGTCTGTGGGTTTGCAGGCAGTGAGCTGAGCAGTCATGGAGGCTGTGGCTTGGAATGGGCAGTGTCGCAGTTCAGCTTGTCACCTGGGTCCAAAGGTGGGGAGAGGCCACTCCGGGATCAGAAGTTGGAGTGGGCATAGGATTGGGTGGGGCTTTGGGGGACATGGGAGGGCTTTGTGGGCAGAGTAGAGGGCAGGGCTGTGCCTGTTTTGCAAGCCTCTTCCTGTGCCACAGTGGCTGCAGGAATGGGGAGCATAGCCAGGAGGTGATGGGCCAGGGGGACTCCCCATTGTACTTCCCTGCTGCCCTGGGGAGCACAGGGCCTATCAGTCTGCCCTAGGTCTCCAGAGTGAGAGGTGAGAGATGGAGTAGGTGCCCCCAGGCAGAGGACATGGCCAGCAATAGTGTACATAACAGGTATCGACCAGGTCACCAGGTACCCAGAGATGAGGAGATGACCACTTTCTCTAAGGGCAGTCGGCCAGCATGCAGGGCTGTCAGCATGGGCTGGGGTGAGTGGCGTGTTCCTTCTTCAGCAAGACAGGGAGAGGAAGCCAGATAGGAGGCAGCTACTGACGTTGATATGCCCACCTCCTGTAGACCCACGCGGCCCTCGTGCCTGGAGGCAACCAGTTTGGGGCTTGACTCTCGGGTCTCTGGGGAGCAGGACACTAGGGCTATCTTAGGCTCTGTGCCCTGATCCCACCCCTGTCCAGGCCCTGGCAGGAGAGAAATGGGGCAATCTGTGTGCCTCTCCAAATTGTTGGCCCTTTTCTGGCGGTTGTGCAGTTACAGTGGCCAGACAAGGCAGGGTCAGGTCTTGCCAGCCAAACCCTGATGCCACTCATAGGTCTGCCACTTCTTTGCTGTGTGACCTTGGGGAAGTCAGTCAACCTCTCTGAGCCTCCATATGTAAATGGGAGAAACAGCAGTGCCTACTGCACAGGGAGTTGCAACGATAATACATATAATCCTCATGGATTATATTTGGGAGCACGGGCACGCAGCATCCCCCTTCTCTCTGTGGCTCCTGCTCTCCCAGCCTTGGGCCCCCTCCTCTGCTCCTCTCCCTGGCCTCTTTCCTCTCCTCCCGTGCACTTCTTGGTCTTTATTCTCCTCTGCTCACTCCACCTGCAGACCTCGGGTGAGCTCCCCACCCAGATCCTTGCTTCCCAGGAGGATAGGGCACGGAGCCTGAGATAGCCCTAGTGTTCTGCTCCCCAGAGACCTGAGAGCCAAGCCCCAAACTGGTTGCCTCTGGGAACGAGGGCCTGGTGGGTCTACAGGAGGTGGGCATGTCAATGTCAAGAAGCTGCCTCCTAGCCTCGCTTCATCTCCCTGGTGGCCTGGAGCCCCTGTCAGCAGGGTGCGGGTGGGGAGGACAGAGCTGGTGTGTGCCTGACCATACCCTTGGCCCTGCTATCTGCCCAGGGCCCCTGGCCCCCAAACTCCACTTTCAGTGTGTGGGGAAGCCCCCTGCATCTGCGTGGGCAAGGTGGGAGAAAACCCTGGTGGGTGGAGGAGCAGCTCTCTGAAGCAGGGTGATAACCCAAGTTGCGCCAGAAAGCAGCAGCTCCCCAGGCCTCCTCAAGGTTAAGCGATGCAACCTTCCTGATGGGGAGGCTGGGCCTGGGGATCTGATCCCCAAGATCCTGGGCTTGGGGCCCTCTCAGGCCCTCTATACTCCCCAAGGTGTGGGTCAAGGGCTGTAGCTGTCTGGGCAGTGCCCATGCACCCTGCCCTGCCCCGCATTGTGCATGTCCGTGAGGACCCTGTGTGTACCTGACATGGGTGAGTCTGTACGTGTGATCTCGGCTCCTGTATTTGGAGGATCCTATATGAGCTGCAGCTGTTGGCGTGTGCCTGTGTGCTGGGGGCGGATGCAGGGGCTGGGGACCATCAAGGATGATATGTGGCTGGGGTGGGAGGAGCAGTGACAGGGCTGGGGCAAGGAGGACTTCAGAAGCCAATTGGAGCCAGGCTTGTCTCCCAGCAGCCAATCTGGGAGCCGGGGCTCCGGGCAAGCGAGTGGCTGCTCGGAAACCCTGCGGGGAGGAGGGGCCAGCTAGGCTGGGCCAGGATCCCTGTATAAATGGCCCAGGAGCTGTGCCCCATCACAGAGCCGACCATCTCCCACTCAAGCTGTCCCCGCCCTCTGGACCCGAGTGACTCAGGCCTTTGTTTGTCCTTCCTGGTAGAGGCGGGTTCCCTCCCTCGGCAAGATGCCGGAGTGCTGGGATGGGGTGAGTGAGAGCGCTACGGGCAGCGAGGTGGGCCGGGAGGATGGTGCATCCTTATGACCCACTGTAGGGAGGAAGTGCCCCCCTCAGCCCACATCTGGTGGCAGCCCTGCCTTCAATATCCTCACCCTGGGGTCCCTGAGACACGGCCAGAGGGCTCCAGGCTCCCTGGTGATCCTGTTTGCAGGAGTGGCTGGGGGCAGCTGCTAGTCAGAGCCCATAGCAGGGGCTAGGGGGAGTGTGTGGGTGGGGGGTGGGTGACATATCTGCAGGAAATGGAACACGGAAGGCACAGTCTGATTTGGCTGCATTGCCGTGTGGACCCGGGCGCCAGTGCCTGCACGTCCCACTGACCGTGTGCCCTCTGGTGTGCGCTTGGATGGTGTCTGCCTTGGTGGTGCCTGGGGCCATCAGGCCAGGGGGCGGGGGGGGGTTTTGGTCAGCCCCCGAGGCTGTGTACCCAGTGTGCGTGCAGGGGCTGCCGTCCGAGTGGGCGGCCGTCTAGCTTGTTTGGATGGCTGTGCCAGTGTGATGGGAAGGACGGGCAGCCTTTTCCTTAGGAGTTGCCTCACAGTTCCCAGGGCTCTGCTGCGCCACGGGCAGAGGCAAGGAGGTCTGGGCCACACAGGAATGATAGCCTCAGGCAGGGGTCCCTGCTGGGGAGGAACGAGGAGGGGTTGCCTGCGTGCCTTATTTTGTAGGTGGGGGAAGGCAACGCTGGAGCCGTGAAGCTGGCAGGGCTAGGGGACCCCAGGTGGAACCCAGGGCACCTCCTCTCGCCGGGGCATCAGGTACCCCGGCTCCTTTCTTCCTCAGGAGGGAGAGGCAGGGGCAGACTCACCCCCACCCCCGGGCCCCACACGCCTGCCCTGCCGGTTCCGCAGACCATAGGTCACCCCGCACACCCCGAGGCGACGACGTCAGCACCTGCCCGCCCATGCAGACCCTGTCCCCTGAATTATTGATGCGGCTGACAGGCCGAACCACAGCAGCACCACCACCAACTCCCACACCGGCGCAAAGCCCGGCTCAAAGCATCCCCCGTCCCCTGCAGTGCTCAAGGTCACAGGCGAGGGGAGACGAACAGGCCGAGAGGAGCCGCCACAGCCGCCTTCCCTCCTGCCGCAGTGCTTCCCGCCTGCGCCCACCTGGAGGCGTGGCCGGCTCTGACGTCACCCAGAGCCAATGGGAGTGCAGGGCCCTGAGGGTTGGGGGCCTCAGAGTGCACCGCACTGTGGCCCTTGGGGCGCTGCCCTTGCGCAGTGCTCCAAGGGACGGGGATGCTTGGCTTCGATTGGGCTGAACTGAGTCCTGAGCTCCCCGCAGAGTCAGAGAAGGCGTTAGGGAGGTGGGCAGCAGGGTTCAGTGAAGGTCACTGGGCTTTGTAGGACAGGCAGCCCGGCGACGCCCAGGCCCAGCCCCAGCACTTCCCATCCTGGGAGATGAGCCCTAGTAGGGTCTGACCACGTCACCTCAGAGGGATGGGGACCGGGCGGCCACACCAGGGGTGGGAGGAGACAGTCGGGACCTGCTCAGCAGCGGAGGGCAGACACCCCTCGCAGCCCTCACGTTGACCCGCAGGCTGCGGATCTGGGTTTGGAAGACACCGCCCTGGGCTCTTGACGTCTGAACCCGGGAGGATAACTGTCCTTTATGCAGCCGGAGGCGCATTGCAGCTGTTCTGCAGTCCCACCCTCCAAAGCTGAGAGAACTCACAGGTTGCTGTGAAGGGGCTGCCTGGTCAGGAGCTCCCTCACGTGGAACCTGATCTCCTGTGAACATGCAACCTTCAGTGCACCGCCCTGGCCCCTGAGACTGGCACCTGGCAGGGCCCACCCTCCCTACTCTGGGATTGACCTTGGGCAAGTCGTTCCTCTTTCCCAGCCTCAATTTCCTGCTCTATGGCTTGGGTCTATGTGGGAAGTAAATGAGAAAAGTGTGGGTCAGTGGTCAGTGACTGGGAAGTGTTCCTGGATTTGATGGGCCCGGAGAAAGGACAGGCCTGGGATGGCAGGGACTGTGTGGCCTGTCCCCTCTCAGCCCTGGTGTGGCCTCCTCATCCCCTGAGCCACATGGCTCACCCTAAGGCTCATTACCAGGGCCCTCCTGGAGGACAACAGGAAAATAAACAGGGCCTGCAAGCCAAAACGTGGCCCCCAGGGTAGAGCCTTTGGCCACCAGGTTGGTGCCAGCTTGTCACTCCATACTGGAGACATAGGCCTGGACAGTTGTCCTCTGAGACCAGACCCACTAATGCCGGCCCCTAAGCAGCTGTCTCCCGCTGTCTAAATCTCCTTTCCCATTCGGAGGCAGCAACTCAGGTTCTTTCTAAACCAAAGTATCCTCATCTGCAAAACAGGGACTAGGGTTCCTGTCTCTTGGGTAACGTGCAGGAAGCCTGGCACACAGTAGGTGCTCAGTCACTTGATGTTTCTTTCATGTCCTTGACCCCAGCCTTATCTCCAACTCACTGGGCCACTCGCATGGTTCCCAGGGCTCACGATGATGCAGAGAGGATCTGTTTATTCAGCTCAGACGGCCCCTCTTGAAGGTTGCCCATCCAAGTGTCTAAGAATGCCCAGTTTGCAAAGGGACCAATGAGGAGGGCATCCCCCCAAGGCCCAGGGATGCCCTAGCATAATAGCCCCCTTTCCGGGGCTTTCTCCAAGTGCTAAATGCTCCACAGACGTTGGCTTGTCTAGTTCTCACAAAATGCCTGTGAGGTGGTTCTGGATGGAGAGGCTGAGGCACAGCAGAGAAGTAACGTGACATGCTCAGATGCACAAGTAAGGGGTCGAGCCAGGTCTTCCTGAGGAAGTAATGACCTTGAGCAGCAAAACCAAAGGTGTGAACGCAAGAGGATCCCAGAGGAGGCTCTGCAGAAGGCCTCTAGAGGAGATGGGGACGGGGGTCTGACCGGGCCTGCCTGAAGGGAGCCCTTGGGGATGCTGGGCTCACAGAGAAGGGCGTTCAAGGTGGAAGCAACCGCATGCGCAAGAGCCTTAGAGTGGGAGCCAGGGGCAGTGTGGGGGCCGGGGCTAGGCTTGGCTGGCATGGGGTGTTTACTGAGGATTCCAGGCAGGACCACTGAGGCCGTTCCCCTGCAGCAGCAGGAAGCGCCTGAGATTTCTGAGTGAGAGAGGGGCTTGGGCTGGGGAGGCAGAGCTGTCCAGGAGGGGCTGCTGCAAGATGGAGAAAAACAGCCTCCTTGGACCCTCAAGGGCTGAGGACAGTGGCGGCACAAACTGCTGGTTGGTTTGCAGAGAGGACCAGAACTTCCCCACGCAGACCAGTTCATGTCGTCTCTGTGCTGAACAGGCCTGAGAAGGGGTGTTCCATCCATTCAGTCCTCTCTGGGGGCTTCTTGGGGTGATGAGAACAGGATGCCCCAAGTAGGGGTTCTACCACATGCCTGACAGGCACCAGGCTGCACCCACCTCATTCCCCAGGGGAGCCAGGAGCGGGGCTGCCCGGGGTCCAGCGCGGTCTCTCCCCTCCAGGAACATGACATCGAGACGCCCTACGGCCTTCTGCACGTGGTGATCCGGGGCTCCCCCAAGGGGAACCGCCCAGCCATCCTCACCTACCATGATGTGGGCCTCAACCGTAAGTGCAGCCCAGCCTCAGTCAGCCCTCCTCTGCCTCCCATCAGCAGTGAGGCCCCCGCCCTCCCCACAGGGCCCTGTCAATCCCACTCGCACTTAGCTCTGTTGCCTTCGCCCTCCGGGCCTCCATTTCCCCGATGGACCTGAGGCTGACACTTCTGCCTTGTGAGCCCTCTGGGGGCCTGGCCTCCCTTCCAGTCCCCCGGCCCCTCTGCTCAGCCATAGTGGAGGTGTGTCTTTGCAGACAAACTATGCTTCAACACCTTCTTCAACTTCGAGGACATGCAGGAGATCACCAAGCACTTTGTGGTGTGTCACGTGGATGCCCCTGGACAACAGGTGGGGGCGTCGCAGTTCCCTCAGGGGTAGGTACCCGGAGCCCCCTCCTCCTGTCTCCAGCTCTGCACCCCAGGCCACACCTGGGCCCTGACCTCCTGCTCTGCCTGCAGGTACCAGTTCCCCTCCATGGAGCAGCTGGCTGCCATGCTCCCTAGCGTGGTGCAGCATTTCGGGTGAGTGCTAGGACCCAGGGGTGCCAGCCCCGACTGCAGAGCCACCCTGCTTCAGCTGAGGGCTTCAGGCTGTGGGCAGGGCCTGCTCTGGGTGACATGTATGGGAAATGGCACCCCTAGCCCTAGAGTGACCAGCCTGTTCTGCACCAGGTTCAAGTACGTGATTGGCATCGGAGTGGGTGCCGGAGCCTATGTGCTGGCCAAGTTTGCAGTGAGTGTCCCCACGCCTGCATTACCCCAGACACCCGGGCAAGCCAGGGATCTCCCTGTGGTGGGGACCGGGGAACCCTTCAGCCTTGAGGAACTGTCTCTGCTCTTGCTTCTCCTCCTCCCACCTCTTCTTTATGTAGAAAACCTCTTTTTTCTTTTTTCCTCCAGGGAAATTAACTTTTTTAAAAAAGAGGTTCCTTTCTCCATATGGTTTTCTCAAGAGACTACAAACTATAACTTGCTTAAACTATTATCCAAAGCCAGAATTTCTAGTAGCAACAAACTATACAACTAACTGCTGCTCTAGCCACTAAATAAGGATCGTCCTTCACTAATTGCCATGGTATTTCAACATGAATAATTTTTTCAGCAAAAAATTTTATTGTGGTTGGGAGGTTTAAAGAAGCACATTTCAAAAACATCATTATTGGATAGAAATTCACAAGCTTTTCATCTCTAAAAACAAGCCAAAAAAAAAAAAAAAACCTAATTTTTCAGGATCTAAGGCATTTCCTACTTCAAAAGAAATGACCAAGAATTTTCAATCCAGTTGCAATGTCAGCACTTAATCATTTTGTTAACTGGAGGCCATTCCCTGCCACCCTAGACAAGCTTGATGTGGCTATGCTGTTTTTCTTTAAACATGGTCTAACAGTTGAAGAGAAAATACCTGTTTTGCAATGCCTAAGGCAAAATAGGCTTTGAAAAGATTGATTTATATCATGAGGGCCTCATTTCCTTTTTTTTTTTTTTTTTGAGATGGAGTCTCGCTCTGTTGCCCAGGCTGGAGTGCAGTGGCACAATCTCGGCTCACTGCAACCTCCACCTCCCTGGTTCAAGTAATTCTGCCTCAGCCTCCTGAGTAGCTGGGACTACAGGCGCATGCCACCACGCCTGGCTAATTTTTGTATTTTAGTGGAGACGGGGTTTCACCATATTGGCCAGGTTGGTCTCGAATGCCTGACCTCAGGTGATCGACCCACCTTCGCCTCCCAAAGTGCTGGGATTACAGGCATGAGCCATGGCGCCTGGCCAGGGCTTCATTTTCTATAAAAGCAAAAAAACAACATGCTTAAGATTTTAAGATGTTTAATGCTCAATTTTGCAATAGCACCATCTTCAAAAATATATTAAGAGCTGATTCTGTTGAAAGAGCATGTGTGTGTGTGTGTATGTGGAGGGGTGGAAACAATGATAGAGATTCTAAATAAATCCAAGAACTGTGAAGGCTTGGGTGAGAGGAGGACAGGCAGGGCATCTGGACATGGGTATGCGTGCACGGACCCAGCTGCAGCCGGGCGGCTGCTCAGCGGCACCCTGAAGACTTCACAGAGCATTTCCACCGTCTGCACCCATCCTGGCCTCGCCCAGCCCTGTTTCCCCTCTTACTGCAGCTCATCTTCCCCGACCTGGTGGAGGGGCTGGTGCTGGTGAACATCGACCCCAACGGCAAAGGCTGGATAGACTGGGCTGCCACCAAGGTGTGTGTGGTGACCAGGGATGGGGTGGGTGTACCTAGGGTGGGGTGAGGGGTGGCACTCACGCTGGCGCCCTGCTCCCTGCAGCTCTCCGGCCTAACTAGCACTTTACCCGACACGGTGCTCTCCCACCTCTTCAGCCAGGTAAGAGTGCGGGGGCTTCTGCGGATCTGGGGCACGCTGGGATTTGCCCCTCCCAGCTTGGCAGGAGGCAGGCGGGTATACTTGGCATCTGACGTGGCTCACTCCAGATCGCATCTCCATGATGCTGAGGCATCTGAAAGACAGACATCCCCTCCCAAGGCCCCACCTCCTACTTGCCCACACTCTCTCTCCCCTGCCTGCTGAGTGGGGCAAGGGCCACTCTGGCAGTGACATCTGCCGGCCCCCTCTGAGCCTGCGTCCCTCTGTCTGTCTGCTCCTCTGCATGCCCCCATCCATCCCCCTGGGCCTAGGAGGAGCTAGTGAACAACACAGAGTTGGTGCAGAGCTACCGGCAGCAGATTGGGAACGTGGTGAACCAGGCCAACCTGCAGCTCTTCTGGAACATGTACAACAGGTGCGGGTGGGGTCAGCAGCCCTGGGACCCAGCACACCCCAGTGGGGGCCCTTGCACACTGCCCCCTGAGGGAGGCAGGCAGGCAACACCCTTGCCCTGGTTTGTAGATGGGCACCATATTGGGCTTCAGAGGAGGTCATTTCCTGCACAAGGTCACACCCTGTGAGGGGCAGAGGGGAACAGGTCTTCAGACTCCGGGCCTTGGGTTCTTCCACTTTTCCTCCTCCCCTGGGGGCTTCCTGCGTGGGAGTGTTGGGGGTGTTGGTGACATCCCTGACTGCAGTAACCCAGCCTTGATATTGACGTCTGCAAAATGGGGACGAGGTCGGATGAGCCTGTGGTTTGCAAGCTATGCTCCTTGGAGCCCCCTTTAGGGGCTGCCCTGCCCTGCAGGGAGGTGGCCAGGCCCCCTCACTCACCTGCCCTTCTCATTCTTCTACAAATACTAAGCACCTGCTGTGTGCATGGTGCTAGGAAAACAATAGAGAATAAAGAGACCCAGGGCCTGCCATCCCATATGGTCCAGGAGACAGACCAGTAGCAGAACCTCCCACAGCACAGGTGGCGCTACCCCTGGCTCTGAGGGGGATAGCAAAATTTGAGACCCCACCTGGTATGTGCTGGGGAGTCCAAAAAGCCATGCATAGGGAGCCTCCAGTTCATTTATGCAGAGCAGGTCCATGCCTCCCTGCTTTACCAGGTGGCAGTGTTGGGCTTGGGATGCCCCTCATCCTGTCCTGGGGTGCCCACCTCTGCCCCTCCCCTCCCCCTCCCCCACAGCCGCAGAGACCTGGACATTAACCGGCCTGGAACAGTGCTCAATGCCAAGACGCTCCGGTGAGTGCCTCCTGGCCCTCTGGCCTGCCCCAGCCTTTGCCCCCGTGACCCAGCCAGACAGCCCTTTTCCTCTGTATCTGCAGCTGCCCCGTGATGCTGGTGGTCGGGGATAATGCACCTGCTGAGGACGGGGTGGTGAGTGAGGGGCTGTGGGCTCACTGGGGGTGTGAGGTAGGGGTGAAGGGCTCATGGCCTCTGTCCAGCAGGGGCAATTCTTGACCCAGCCCAGGGGAGCCTCCAGGGCCGGCAGTGGATGGTGGGCTTCTCGTCCACTTCCCCACAGTCTTGCCAAGCCTCACATCTGGCATAGCCCCCACCCTTCTGGCGGGGGAGGCCTGGAAATGGGGAGGGCTGGGGCCAGGGCCGGGCCATCAGAAGGTCCCCTCTTCCCTCCCCAGCAGCACAGCCCCAACTTGGTCCCTACCTACCTCAGGCCCAGGGCCTGCGATCTCTCTTTTTTCTGAAATGTGATTGAGTCATTATAAATCATTAATGCATACAGCGGCACAGTCTCTCTTTCCCCATCACCTGCACCTGTTACGTTTGGGGACCACGTGTCACCCCTCCTGCTGGAACTCTGGGAGCAGGTGGCCTGGGGCTGTGAGGCCCCATCAGCACAGAGCTGCTGGGAAGCTGCAGGGTCCGGAAGTGCCCGAGCAGCCCCGTGCGCCCTGGAAATACCAGGCTTTCCCATGCCCACCAGGAGGTCCTGGAAGAGTGCGGTGGTGGGCTGTGCCAGCCCCCTCCACCCAGTCTCTCTCAGACCTTCGGCACCCCTCACCTCACTGCTGAGGGCCCCAGGACTTTTTCCCAGGCCAGTCCCACCACGGCAGCCCAGCCTTTGCCTGACTTCCACTCCTAGCAGTTGTGAGTGGGCTCCAAGGGTCCCAGGACCTTCAGGGGCGCTGCTGAACTGGTCTCCAAGAACGTGGGGAGCCCTGGGAGAAGCAGCCTGTCACAGGTGCTGGGTCTCCCTCTGCCTCCCTGCACCTCCTCTCCTCCCCAGCTTGGGGCATCAAACCTGCCTTAGCCACGGGGGTGGGGAGGGGCCGGGGCTGTTGCTGAAGCTGGCTCCTTGTCCCCAGGTGGAGTGCAACTCCAAACTGGACCCGACCACCACGACCTTCCTGAAGGTGAGGCTTTCTTCCCCAGCCCTAGGCCAGCTTCCCTAGCATGGGCCCAACCTCAGGGAGGGGCTTGCCTGGGGTCCCAGCCAGGTGGGAGCTTGTCCTGGAGTGAGGGCCCTGCTCAAGTCATCCCACTCTCTCCTTTGCAGATGGCAGACTCCGGAGGGCTGCCCCAGGTCACACAGGTGAGACTTTTGGCCCTCCTGCCCTTCCATCTATGGGGTGGGGGAAGCCTCTACCCTCCCCGCTAATCCTAGGCAGCCAATGAAAGCATGTGCTTGTCCTGCCCTCTGCAGCCAGGGAAGCTGACTGAAGCCTTCAAATACTTCCTGCAAGGCATGGGCTACAGTGAGTACATTTCCACCCCACCACACCTAGAGACCAGTGGGCAGGCAGTGCTGGGGTGGGGGGTCCTGTTTGCAGGGCTGGCACCTGGTGTCAGGTGGTACTGGGGAGCCCACAGGCATAGTTTTGTGTGACCTGGGCCCCGGATGCTGGGCCCCACAGATGCCACCTGAGTTGCAAGTTGGGCATCCCAGGCTGTGCCCAGCTCCCCTTTGCCCTTAGGGAGGACCTGGCACACTGTTCTGATGGCAGTGATGGGCATACTGGGGGAAGGGACCCTTCTCTCTGTGCTGAGGGTCCAGGTCCAGGGGCCACGTCCTGCCAGGGAAGCCTGTCTGGGGGTGAGGCACACTCCCCTCATCTGCCCCAGGGCTTGGGGTCAGAGTTGGGCCTACGGCACCTGAGAAGGCCTTTTGAAACAACTGGTGGCTGCACCCAGGGCGTCATAGGAGAGGGCTTGGAGCCTGGGGCCAGGGAAGGCAATTGGGGCCGCCTGGGCATTCAGAGAGCTGAAAGCAGCTGAACGTGAGTTGGCAGATCTGAAAATCTGGGTCTGGGGCAGAACCAGGTACACACATACAGACACACACACCCCTTGGGTGTCTCCTCGACTTCCCCTTCCCTCTAAGACATACGTGTTTCCAGCTCCCCACTGCCAGGAGGCAAACTTCCTCTTCTCAGTTTGTTTTTTATTGCCCTCCAGACTTTAGCCTCTGGAGCTGGTATCTCCAGGGCAAACAGGGGGCGTCCTGTGGGAAGGCTGGGGAGGACACCCAGGAATAGAGTGCTCTCTGGAGCAGGGCAGAGCCCTGGGGCCCACAGGGGGGCTCTGCAGGAGCGCAGAGGCTGGGATCCGGGCACAGCAAGCATTTGTGAGGTGAATGGAGGAAGCTTGTCAGGCGCTGAGATGCGTTCTCAGGGTCCTGGGGAGAAACTCCACCAGGCAGCCCCGAGCTGGGAGAGGCACAGAGGGGCAGGCCTCCCCAGTTCTGTACGCAGGAGACTGAGGCCCAGCAGAATGGTGAGGGGATAAGCACCCCACTGGCTGTCAGGGCTTCCTTGGGTCAGAGATCCTTCTGGGGACCACTGCTGGGTGGGCTTCCAGAGCCTCTGACCCTGCCCCCAGCCTCTCTGTGCCTCTCCTTTGTCCCATCTCTCCGGCTCATCTCAATGCCCTGGCCTCAGTGGACCACGCTGTTCACTGTGTTGTGTCTCCCCCACCCCGCCCCCTGTCTGGCTCTGTCTTCTCTCTTAGTTGCGTACTTGAAGGACCGAAGGCTGAGTGGAGGAGCAGGTAGCCCCACAGCCCTTCCCCTGATGCATGGACACCCAGCCTCCCCCTCCCCCGCTCCTGCTGCAGCCAGGCCGCATCTTGCTGTGGTTTGGAACCTTCTTGTGTCCTGTTCCACTCAGAAAGCCCACAGATTCTTGTGTTTCTGCAGACTTGGCCTCTAGGTTGGCTGGGCTGCAGAGCAGTCTTGCTTCTAGGTTGTCATGAGCTACGTGGCTTCCAGAGCTCTGGGGATTGGAAACAGACCCTCCTTAGAGGTAGAGCCCAGGTCTGGCCCTGCCTGAGCCAGAGGTGGCCAGGAGCGTTCAGGAGGGTAGAGTTTGCTGCACGCAAGTCTTGCTTGTGAAACTCCGAACAAGGGCAGAGTCTGAATTGAGGGTGACCACCGCTCCGTGTCCTCCTTTACAGAAGCAGTCCTACTTCTCCACCGGCATCCTCGAGGGAGGCACGGCTGGAAACCCAGCACCTCCCTGCACCAGCTGCTCAGGGCTGCCTGGTCAGCTGCTTGAGAGGGCCCTGCTGGCCACAGCCCCCTAGGCCCACTCACTGTCGCTGGCCCTGCATGCCCCCGGCCCGACAGCTGTCGCCAGCTTCCTGGCTCGGGAGGGGCCCTTTGTGCCTTCGAGGAACGGTTCGCTAGCCGCTTTGCTTGCAGCCTACTTTTCCCACCAGAGGCGCCTGGCCCTGCCCGCCAGTCCTCAGGCCCACCCTGTCTCTGTCCACAGTGCCCTCAGCCAGCATGACCCGCCTGGCACGCTCCCGCACTGCATCCCTCACCAGTGCCAGCTCGGTGGATGGCAGCCGCCCACAGGCCTGCACCCACTCGGAGAGCAGCGAGGGGCTGGGCCAGGTCAACCACACCATGGAGGTATCCTGTTGAAGCCCTCGATCCCGCTGACGACGCCCACCTGTCCGCCCACGTCAAGGCCCCACCGCCATCCTTGCGCCGGCTCATGTTCCCTTTAGTTTATTTTTGTGAGGGCAAAGGGGAGGAAATGGGGTTCTGTTTGAAAAAAATGAGGGGATCTATCTTAGATCCTTCAGCGGAACAGTCTCCAGGTGTTTTGAGGGGCTCACTCCTCCCCACCCCATCTCACTCTCCGTGGTAACTTGGCCGACTTGACCCCTCTCATCTCACTCCCTGCGGCCCAGGCACAGGAGGGCAGGGCCATAGGGAGGGAGATTCTCTAAGGATCCAGGCCATTCCTGGGTGAGCCCTTGGGCAGGCATGTTTGCAGATGGGAGAGGCTTCGAGAGGGTGGTTACTGGGCCCACAGGGGTGCAGGGCCAGCTCAGGCACTGGAGTGGGAGCCCTGGGAGACCCCTTCCCCCACTCTCCACCAAGCACACCCGTTTCTGTCTCATAGCACATGTGACAATCATCTGGACAATAGCCACAAGGGGGCGCTCGGACCAGGCAGCCACTTTCCTGGTGCTCTCTGGGCCCAGCTGGTGCTGTAGGGCCAGGCAGGCAGGGGCGTCGGGGTTTCTCTGCCCAAGGAAGACAGAACATGGAGAACCGTGAGGGCAGGAACCCCACAGACCGTCCCTTCCAGCCCACACTCTGCCACCTCCTGGCCCTCTCCCATTTCTGAGCCAAGGCCTCCCCGAGGCAGAAGTTGCCTGGTCGTCTGTCCCCACAGTGACCTGACTGGGGGTGAGGGAGAAGGAAGAGAGAGCCCATGTGTGGCGTGTGTGCCCTGAGAACATCGTGGTGACTGCCTTTGGGAGCCCGCAGGTGGCCAGAGGCAGGGGTAGCTGAGTTCCTGGAGACCCCTTTTTTGCCCCCAGGTTCCCCAGAGGGCAATGCCTTCAGTAGCAGTGTGGTGTTTCAGGCAGAGCTCTGGCCAGGCTGTGCCAGCGTGTCCTGGAAGCATCACTAAGGAAGAGTGAGTTTATTCAGTCAACTGGCCCAAGGCAGCGAGACTTCTACAGTCCCATACCCCATAGCCCCCTGGGCTGGGGCTTACTAGGGGCTGATGATTCTGGACACGAACAAGAGCCAGGTAGAGGAGAAAGGCTTCCCCCACACCCCAGCCCCCTGCTGTCCCCTGAAGCCCAGGACTGTTGTGTGCTTTCCATCCACCCACCTTACCCTATAGCATCTTGCGGCCCAGAAACCAGAGCCATTTGTCTCAGATCCTAAATCAATGGTCACAAACCTCAAAACAGAGAGGGGAGAGAGCAATGAAAACATGAAGGGCTGTGGAGGGGGAGGGTTGTGGTGGGTGTTCGGAGGCTGAGAGGACACCTATATGCGTATTTCCTCTATACACATCACCCCCCTTCTGTAATCTTAAGCCATGACTAGCCTGGTGATGTGTTAGTTTGTGCCGAGTTCTACCCCCTCATGTGCTGCTTCTGAATACTGAATGTGACTGGTTGAAAGCTGGTAGAATTCATCCCTCTTACTGTAGATAGCACTGCAAATCTTGGAATTTTTTTTTTTGTTTTTTGCTGTGTTTCCAGATGAAATATCTATATCTATACATTATATATATAGATGTGTGTGTGTGTGCGTGTGTGTGTGTGTGTGTGTACATTGGGTCCTCCCATGTGTGGTGGTCCTCCGGAGGCTGTCTCTTTGGTCAAGGTGAACTTTTAATGTTTATTATTTTCTTCTCCGCACAAAGAGCCTAATTCTGTGTATTCTGGTGGCTGCTGTCATGAGATGACAAAATGTAAAACAAAACTCTAGTCAACGTAGAAAGAGTTAACTGTGCTGAAAAACTAATAAAGAACCTAAGAATTCCAGTGTGGTGATGCCATGCCCATCGTGGGAAGCTTTTGGAGTGACAATGTTTGGGCAGGGGCTGCTGGTGCTGCTTGGTTTGGGGTGAGGGTGCTAGGAGAGGATGGTCTCCACCCATCTTTCTATTTCCAGTACATGTCACATTATTTTACCAGTGAGAGGAGAGTGTGACAAACATTAAAAGCCTTATGTGCTAATTTCTGCTTAAACCCCTGACTCTGTGACAAAATACAGCTCTCCTCAGCCAGGCGCGGTTGCTCAAGCCTGTAATCCCAGCACTTTGGGAGGCTGAGGTGGGCAGATCACTTGAGGCCAGCAGTTAAAGACCAGCCTGGGCAACACGGTGAAACCCTGTCTCTACTAAAAATACAAAAATTAGCCGGGCGTGGTGGCACGTGCCTGTAATCCCAGCTACTCGGGAGGCTGAAGCAGAAGAATCTCTTGAACACGGGAGGCAGAGGTGGTAGTGAGCGGAGATCATGCCACTGCACTCCAGCCTGGGTGACAGAGTGAGACTCTGTCTCAAAATAAAAAACAAAATACAGCTCTCCAGAAAAATGCCTTAAAAACAAAACAAAACACCCCTGCCCTCCAAATCTCTTGCCTGAGTCACTACATTCCTTCAAAGATAAATGACCTGTTCTTTGCCTTCTCCTAAACATACGATCATGTCTGACAGGGTTAATGATTATACTTCTGCAATCTATAACCAGATATACTTATCCCTAAACTTTCATATGATTTTACACATACTAAATCTTCAACTACATTTAACCTAAACTAAAATACCCTGATACAGCAGCCTCACAAGATTACTTCTGGGCTACAGGCCTCAGTCTATAGTCCTCAGTAAGGCTTCTAAATAAAACTAATTTTAATTATTTAAAAGCTTAATATTTTTTCTTTAGTCAACATACCAGTCCTTACATTAATCCTACAGGGTAGGTATTACCTTAGTTTCGCTGGTGAGGAGACTAAGCTTCAGGAAAAAGGATCTGCCTTAATAATAGACCAGGCCGGGCGCGATGGCTCACGCCTGTAATCCTAGCACTTTGGGAAGCCGAGGCGGGCGGATTGCCTGAGCTCAGGAGTTCGAGACCAGCCTGGGCAACACGGTGAAACCCCGACCCTACTAAAAATACAAACAAAAAATGAGCTGGGCGTGGCAGCCTACGCCTGTAGTCCCAGCTACTCGGGAGGCTGAGGCAGAACTGCTTGAACCCGGGAGGTGGAGGTTGCAGTGAGCCGAGACTGCACCACGCACTCCAGCCTGGGCGACAGATCGAAACTCCGTCTCCCCACCTCCCCAAAAAAGAGGAAAAAAAAAAACACTGAGTGTTGAGCTCCGGCGTTGCTTGGTTTCAAAACCCATTCCTGTAACCTCGTTTATTTATTCACAGCCTCGTTTTCTTAAATTTAACACCATGCTACTTCCCCAGGTTTAACCACCATTTGTTTTATTCATTTATTTACCCAATAGGTAGATACTGAGTCCTTACTATGTCAGCTGATAAAACCCACCACGTGCTATGCAGTAGATTAAAAAACGAGGATGTACTGGCAAATAAGGGCAGAGAGGATCTATTCTAGATCCAGGAGCCCTCTAGGCCACGCTATTCCGAAACACACACGAAAACTGCTCTGAACGCATACCACCAGTAAAACGATTCCATGGCCATCGGTAACAAGGAGTCGAGATCAGGAGGTCGCTGGCCGCCCAGATGCGTCGCTCACCACCAGCCGGCCGCCAGACCCTCGGCTTTCGATCCAGAAACCGTATTTTGTTCCTACACCCAGAAGGCAAGAAGCCTCAGCCCTCGGGGACAGACCAAAGGCCAGGGTTGTACCGGGCTCCGAACCAGGCTCCAAGCGGCACGGGACGCTCCTTCTACACTCTGACCGCGCGAGAGCAATTGGAGATCCTGGACTCAAGATGTTTTCAGTAGGAACGATTCCAGCCAGCGCTAACACCGGCCGGTCTGCAGCGTGGACGCCAAAACAGGCACCACGTGGTTCCGGCGCCGGGGCGGGGCCAGAGACGCCGGAAGTGGCCGCGCGCTCCACGGGCCCACCGGGAGGCGCGCTTTCAGACCATGGCGACCCAAACGAAGCGCCCACGGGTGAGTGGCGGGTGCGGGGTCCAGCCTTCTCCTTCGCGCCTCACCCCTCCTCCACCCGCAGGGCCATGCGCCTGCGCCCCCTCCGCTCCCTCCCGCGGGTCCCGCGCCCCTCTCCGCTCGTCCCCACCTCCACCCAAAGCTCGTTCTGCGCGCGCGCGTCGCGGTCTCCTGCCGTTCCCAGCGGGCTCTCTGGGGCCGGGCCTGGTCACTGCGCGCACTTATCTCAGGTGGCGGGGCCTGTGGACCGCGGCGACCCGGATCCTGTGGCCGGCTTCCTGAACTGGTGCCGGCTGGTGGGGCTGGAGCTGAGTCCCAAGGTGAGCGAGCGAGCCGGCGGGCGGAGGACCCGCGGCGGGGCGCGGGCTGCCCTGACCAGCCCTCCTCCTGCTCAGGTGGCGGTCAGCCGGCAGGGCACGGTGGCCGGCTACGGCATGGTGGCCCGGGAGAGCGTGCAGGCCGGAGAGCTGCTGTTCGTGGTACCGCGGGCCGCGCTCCTGTCGCAGCACACCTGCTCCATTGGCAGCCTGCTGGAGCGAGGTGGGCACGGCGGCGGGCTAGGGCTCTGGGGCTGGGCGGGGCGGGTCCGCGAGGCCGCGCCGGGGCGCTCACACCTGTGTCTCCCTCAGAGCGAGGCGCGCTGCAGAGCCAGTCGGGCTGGGTGCCACTGCTGCTGGCGCTCCTCCACGAGCTGCAGGCCCCGGCCTCACGCTGGAGGCCGTACTTTGCGCTCTGGCCCGAGCTGGGCCGCTTGGAGCACCCGATGTTTTGGTGAGAACTTTGGGAGGGGTTGGGGAACGCCTGCACCGTAGCCTGCTGCAGAAAGTTTCCCCGCCACCCGCCCTGCACCAGTCCTGCCCAGTAAAGTGTGTGAAGGGATGAAGGGAACCTGGGTGTGGGTGTCCCTGCAGGCCAGAGGAGGAGCGCCGGTGCCTGCTGCAGGGCACAGGCGTACCTGAGGCCGTGGAGAAGGATTTGGCCAACATCCGCAGCGAGTACCACTCCATCGTGCTGCCCTTCATGGAAGCCCACCCCGATCTCTTCAGCCTCAGGGTTCGCTCCCTAGAACTCTACCATCAGCTCGTGGCCCTTGTGATGGCCTATAGGTCAGTGGGTGGGGCCTCTGAGGACGGAACCCTTTTCTTTAGAACTGTAGAGAGGGACAAAAGGGGAAAAACAATGAAATCCACCCCCAGTCCCTCACCCAAGACAGGACCTTAGCCAGGTTCTGTCAATGGCAGCTTTCAGGAACCACTGGAAGAGGAGGAGGATGAAAAGGAGCCCAACTCCCCAGTGATGGTGCCTGCTGCAGACATACTAAACCACTTAGCCAATCACAATGCCAATTTAGAATATTCTGCGGTGAGTGGAGTTCTTATTGGTGCACTAAGCATGATTCAAGCCATTGTGTCTTAGGCTCCATTCTCTTACTAATGCTACAAAATGAGTAGGTGAGATCAGCTCCTCCTGTATGTACTTTTAGTGTGCTTATTACTGTAGAATCATTTGAATGCAAAACATTTTAAAGTCCTCAAAGTAAGTTGGGGTTAACCCTCTGATAAACTATACTACCATCATTTATTTAGTGCTAGAGATTGGGTGGTCTGCATAGCCATGCTTCATTCCCTGCTGGCTGATCACATCAGTGAGCCCAGACTGGGTGTGGCTCTGTGGATAGCAGCCTGGAACAGTGATAGTCTCCGTGTTTTGTAGGGATGAGGACATTCACAGGCCAGAGATCTAAGATGATCCTAGAACTGGTATAAAGCTGTGTTTTTACCAGCTCTGTTCTATACGGAAAATTGCCTGAAAAGATGACACATTTATAGGATCGAAAATTAGTTAAGTATGGTTCTTAATCCTTGCCTCCATTTTCCTTTCCCACTTTGATCTGCGAAAGTTTCATTCCCCCGCCCCACCCCGCGCCGAGGAGTCTCGCTGTGTCACCCAGGCTGGAGTGCAGTGGCGTGATCTGAGCTCACTACAACTTCCGCCTCCCGGGTTCAAGCAATTCTCCCTGCTTCAACCTCTCAAGTAGCTGGGATTACAGGCTCCCGACACCATGCCCGGCTAATTTTTGTATTTTTTAGTAGTGACAGCGTTTCGCCATGTTGGCCAGGCTGGTCTTGGAACTCCTGACCTCAAGTGATTCACCCACCTTGGCCTCCCAAAGTGCTGGGATTACAGGTGTGAGCCACCGCACCCGGCCAAAAATTTCATTTTTAAAGCTAGCAACTTTTTAAGTGCTGAAGAGGACTGTGCAGAAATCCACCCACTTAAACATGAAGCTGGCCTTTGAAAGTTAGCCTAACCCTTTTTTGTTTCACAGTTCAGGGTCTAACAGGAACTAAAGGTAGAACTTTGGTAGCTAACAGCATCAGTCCCATGGCTGAACTACACCTGCTAAAGGCTCTTAAGTGGAAGTAATCTTCATGGGGCTGGCCCGTGAAAGGCATGGCCCCAGCTTCTCCCTTTCACCTCAGAATTGTCTTCGGATGGTAGCCACTCAGCCCATTCCTAAAGGCCATGAGATTTTCAACACTTATGGGCAAATGGCTAACTGGCAACTGATTCATATGTACGGTTTTGTTGAACCATATCCTGACAACACAGATGACACAGCTGACATTCAGATGGTGACAGTTCGTGAGGCAGCATTACAGGGTGAGTGTATCGTTAACTCAATATTTGACACTGATGGTGTGTCTATACCCACACCTCAGGTGAAACAGCTTTGCTAAATAGCAGTTGACTTTGTAGACTGGGTGGCAGACTAAAGAAAAAATGAGCCATTGGGTGTACTGAGCCTTTCACATTGCTATTTCATCTACAGGAACAAAAACTGAAGCTGAAAGGCTCCTAGCGTATGAGCGCTGGGATTTCCTATGCAAACTGGAGATGGTAGGGGAAGAAGGAGCCTTTGTGATAGGGAGGGAGGAGGTGCTAACTGAAGAGGAGCTGATCACCACACTAAAGGTAAAGGGCTGAAAATGGCCATTTAATGCTGATAATCTAAGTATTTAAAGCAAAACAGCTAGAAAATGAGGAAATGTGGGGTTTTTAATAAATGCTAAGATGGGTTTAATCTCCTGAATCATTTTGGAAGTACAAAAGTAGTACATCCTAATTAAAGGGCTCTGTGGTTGTTTCTAGGTACTGTGCATGCCTGCTGAGGAGTTCAGAGAGCTTAAAGACCAGGATGGAGGGGGAGATAATAAAAGGGAAGAGGGCAGCCTGACGATCACAAATATTCCCAAGCTCAAAGCATCGTGGAGACAGCTGCTACGAAACAGTGTTCTATTGACCTTACAGACCTATGCCACAGACTTAAAAACTGACCAAGATTTACTCAGTAATAAGGAAGTCTATGCCCAACTCAGCTGGAGGGAACAGCAAGCCTTACAGGTTCGCTATGGTCAGAAGATGATCTTACATCAGTTGTTGGAACTGACACAAGTTGGCAGTTTCCCTGTTCCCTGAAGGAACAGCAATAAGAACTTTTATTCTAAGCTAGTACTCATTGATGTTTGAAAAAGGGAAAATTTGGATCTTTTTCTTATTAAACACCAAGAGGAAAAGTAGCAAATGTGGTGTTCTAGGATAAACTGAGGTAAGGGTGATGTGTTTTAGGATTGAGAACAGCAGACTTGGGAATCACTGCTAATTGTTAAAGCATGTTACAGCTATTTTGTTCTGTTTTAACCAAAGCCAGTGGAAATATGGTAGTAATAGGTCTTCTTGTTGTGTTTCAGCATTTCATAATAGACTTTGGAGGTAGACCCTGGTTTAAATCTAAGTCTAGTTTGAGGAAATCACTTAACCTTTATTTAAAAGACTGGATTTAATAAGCTGTGTAACTGGCACTCAATGATTAGTTACCTGAAGTTCACTCTAGATGGCACAAACCACCCCTCAGGGAATAAACCCTAAGACATCACTCATGGAGGACTTCAATTATTTAATTTTGAACTATTTTGTCCTCTCTGGCTGTAAAACTTGACAGTCATGAAAGGTAAGGCAAATTTTAAGTGGGTTAAGTTTTAAAATACACATCTACTCATTTTCTTTAAAAAGAAAAAATACCAAAATACCTGGGGGGTATTAAAACTGGGCATTTTAAATTCTGTTTAACCAGAGAAACCTGCTCCAGCAATTTTCCAGTGTTGAAATAGGAAGAAAAATAGTTTCCTTAAACATCCCAGCTTAGTTAGTGGGAATGACCTATCATTCAGCAAGTAGTTGATGGTCCCCCATGGCCCCAAGGTCTGCAAGGCTGGACTGTCCACTTTTCCTCCTCACCACCAGCACTGGCTGCTGCTACTGAGAAAGGCACAGTGGACTCGTGTGTGTCATGACTTTAATGGTTAGCTACAGTATGCATACACATACAAGAAGTAGGGGAGCTGAAGCCCGGGAAAAGGCTACAAAATACAGCACAGGGACCAATACATTTGCAAAACATTCAAAACCCTTATAAAAGGGGCTGTATTGGTCCTTTCAACTTTGTCATTATTCAGCTTAGCCTGTATGGCCATTCATTGGGGTAATGGGGAGAACAATTAATGAGATTTGTTTCCCTTTCCTATATTCCCACTGTTTTTTAAGTTTCAGAAGAGGGATGTAGGGGTGAGGGTAGGGGGTGGGCTTTAGGCCTGGTCTAGTTTCCCTTTATATAAAGAGCTGACCCCCATCTCACGTGGCTGAGGTGTGTAATCCCCAAAATAAGAAAGATGGTACAAATGCAGTCAGCTTTGGAATGGGTTTGGGTAGAGAAAAACAGAAACTCATGGGATTCCAATTGTGAGCCCTTCCCATGTTCCCAGACGTATCAAATTCTAGCACATCCACATTTTTAATAACTTAGTGATTTTTAAGGTCCCCTGTCCACATTAAAAAAATAAGTTACATAATATTCAAACTGGCTTTTTGCTATTCTTTGGGACACCAGGAATGTCAGAGGACATGGAGCTATGCCCTCAGACAAGTGCATGGCATCAGCTGCCTCTTTATTACAAGGTACCAGTTTATGTACTTGCCTTGGACACAGCTTGCACAAAGCCAAGAAGTTCCAGACAAAGGTTTTCTCTTTCATGTATTTACACAAGTTCAAAATGATATTCACAGCATCTTCTAAATTTTGGCCAAGAGTCAAAAAAATGCATTTAAACTTTGGAACGTGCCCACATAAGACAGGAGGCTGATCCCAACAGTAGTTGGGGCAGATACCCGCAAACCAAAGGGCTGGGAAAGTCAGGAAGAGCTGAAAGGATTCTTCAGTTTGTGAACTCGGTGCAGTGAGACCTCTAGGCTGACACATGTACAACGGAGATGCAGTTTCATCTAACTGGCACCTGTCCCTTCCATTACTTGCTGGGCCTGCTTCTGTCCCATGCAGCACTGTGCGACCGACTGGAATAACCTGAAGGATGAAGACAGTTACAAATCTGATTAAAGAGTAGGCCTAACAATACCCTGCATCTCATTCAACTACTAATCACTGACCCAACCTAGAGACAAATAAGGTTTTCAGTCTCCAGTCTCATTCCTAGACAATTAAAAATTACTTTGAACTCACTTTTCGATTTCTGGGGCACAGTGTACAAATTCATGGTTCCAGAACTTAAACGCTGGGTTTTTAATCAGCTCAATGAAGGTAATAAGAAGACCCCAAGGATGTGGCCTATTTACAATCAACCGTTCCAAGAGAACTCTGGGAAAGGGGAGAAAAGAGCTAGTTAATGCAGAGAAGCATACAAATTCATGATGATTCTTCCATTACCCTTTTTTCTAACTTCTCCCTGATTATTAAACCACAGGCAAAAGTTTTCACCTTTAGTAGTAAAGACAGGTGGATTAATCAATATACTCCAAATGGCATGGGATGGAATACCTGGGTTTGAACCTTGCTCTTAGCCCTAGAAGACTAAGTATTAATGTAAAGTGCAGATAATGGTATCTACCTCAGAACTGTTCAGAATAAGGGGTGATGGGGGAGAGGAAGCCACATAAAGCCCAGAGTACATGGCACACAAAGTTAGTACAAAAAGTAGTAATTTACAGAATAAGCTCCCAGGCCAGGCATAGTGGCTCATGCCTGTAATCCCAGCACTTTGGGAGGCTGAGGCAGGTGGATCACCTGAGGTCAGGAGTTCAAGACCAACCTGGCCAACATAGTGAAACCACGTCTCTGCTACAAATACAAAAATTAGGCATGGTGGCACATGCCTGTAATCCCAGCAGTCAGAGGCCGAGGCAGGAGAATCACTTGAACCTGGTAGGTGGGAAGTTGTGGTGGGCTGAGATCATGCCACTATACTCCAGCCTGGGCGACAGAGACTCTGTCTCAAATAAATAAGCAAGCAAACTCACTCTGAATGAAAAGTAAGGAAACAGAAAATAAGAATTCTAACACTGCAGGCTGGACGCGGTGGCTCACGCCTGTAATCCCAGTACTCTGGGAGGCTGAGACGGGTGGATCACAAGGTCAGGAGTTCAAGACCAGCCTGGCCAAGATGGCGAAACCCCGTCTCTACTAAAAATGCAACAAATTAACCAGGCGTGGTGGCAGGTGCCTATAATCCCAGCTACTCGGGAGGCTGAGGCAGAGAATTGCTTGAACCCAGGAGGAAGAGGTTGTAGAGAGCCGACATTGAGGCACTGCACTCCAGCCTGGGCGACAAAGCGAGACTGTCTCAAAAGAATTCTAACATTGCTAGTGCACGTGTAAATTGGTAAAATTTTTCTGAATGCCAGTATTGGCTTTTATATCCTTTCACATACCAACTGTACATGAAGCATAACAAAGATTACAACAAGGAGACTTATTGCAGCTTTATATAAACAAAATGGATCATCATCATCTAAGCATCCAATAAGATATTAAATTTTAGTACACAAAGGAATACCATATTTAGCATCATAGGTATTATTAGGCAAATGAGCAAGTTTTAAGAGTCTAGCCCAATTTTTAAAGTGTGTGTGTGTGTGTGTGTGTATATATATATATATATCTCACAATCTCTCTAATGCTATATATAGTCTAGGCAATCCGGCAACAGATTCCTAACTATTGTTATTTCCTGTTATTGCTACTGCTTTCAACCCAGAGGTAATGAGGAGAAGTCCAAGGTCCTTAACACAGTCTTCCATAGGCATGCATGATTTAGGACTGGTTATCACCACCAACTCAGAGAAACTCCTGACCTTTAATCAAAATGTGCCTTGTGGTGTAAACTACTTTTCATTTAAGCCATGATTACGATTTATAATGCTCTACTTGTGATACATGTTCATCAGAATGAGTATTAGGAGGGCAGCAACCATCCCCATTTTGCTCACAATTGTATCCCACACTTAACACATTATTGGACATGTAAAAGATTTTCACTGAAGGCCAGGTGCAGTGGCTCACACCTGTAATGCCAGCATTTTGGGAGGCTGAGGTGGGCGGATCACTTGAGGTCAGAAGTTCAAGACCAGCCTGGCCAACATGGTGAAACCCCGTCTCTACTAAAATACAAAAATTAGCTGGGCATGGTGGCGGGTGCCTGGAATCCCAGCTACTTGAGAGGCTAAGGCACGAGAAAGGTTGAACCTGGGAGGTGGAGGTTGCATTGAGCCAAGATCGCACCATTGCATTCTAGACTCAGTGACAGAGCAACACTCCATCTCCCACAAAAAAAAAAAAATAAAAACACCCAAACCAACCAAACAATAGATTTTCACTGAACACTGAAAGCATAGAGAATTTAAAAAAAAAAAAAAAAAAGAATTTAAGATGAAAGGAAGAAAACCCTTTTGAAGCATTTAAAAAATAAGCTGCTTTCTTACCTTGTGATCTGTTCTTGGATGGCTTCCGTATTGGCCTCTGCAAAAAGGTACAGCATGGTGCAACTGAAGTAGTGAGTGTGGCTATTTGGGTACCGGAGCTGATTTGCAATTGCATTCAAAAAGAGATAGCGACCTAGAAATTAAGAAACCTTGACTTATGACTTAGTCTGAAAGGCCAACATGGGAAAACAGTTCTAACTGGCTAGGGTTTGGGTTTCTGACAGAGGCTTTCAAATTAATCTTTGGTTTAAAGCAGTGGTTCTCAGGACCCCGAAGATTTCTCATTTCTGTGAGTTTTATTTCAGTATTTTCCACATTAGAAATTAGGTTTTTTTAAATATTCATTTTTAAAAACAGACCCACTATATGCTAATATAAGGAACATGAACTATTTTCTGGTGACACTCATCACTACGTTTTTCTACATTTTGCAGATCTCTAAGTCTTGCTTAATAAAAGACAACTGGATTTTCATTTCTGCTTCTGTGTTCAACTTGTTACAGTATATTTCATGTAACCTCTGAGAAATTCAACTGTACACATGACAGAATAGACCCAAAAATGTAAATGTTGTTTTATGATGAAAACAGTTTTGGGCCGGGCGGGGTGGCTCACGCCTGTAATCCCAGCACTTTGGGAGGCTGAGCCAAGTGGATCACTTGAGATGAGGGGCTCAAGAACAGCCTGGCCAACATGGTGAAACCC